ATGTCTCTTTGTGCTGATTGGGATTGTCTTATGCTGTAAGAGGGGGGCAAGCTGTCCCAATACTTGGTTTGCTTTACTGCATCTAATGTTAATTTCTTTATCCAATTTCCCATCTTCTGTAAATGTAGTTCCCATATATTCAAACTCAGATGCCCGTTTAATGCCTTTGTATTCTATTTCTATGTTTAGATCTGTCTTCTTTTTTCCTATTTACATTACTTCTGTCTTTTCAGTGTTGATTCTCATATTATTTGTTTTACATTCTTCATTCATGGATGTTAGATGTTGTTCACAATTTGTATCAAGGTGCAAAAAATACTGTGTTTTCATATTCATGTTTTATTTATGATTTTGTTCACATATGAGCATAATGTGTTACCTTATTTACTGTGCACTGTATTTATGATTTAAATTTTAAAATTTGAGTTCGCTGGACTCTGAAAAATATTGATTTATAGTGCGTTTCAAAAGTTGTGCTTTTACTCTTGAGTAAACATCTCGAAAACTCAGGTTCAGATCAACACCAATTTTTGCAGGTGTCTTAGATTTCCTCCATCCTCACGATTTTATTATTTACAATCGCGCATGTGCTGCTATTTTCTTTAAGCGGCAAAGGTACCCCCCCTCCTCCCCCCCCCCCCCCCCCCCGACCCAAAAAAAGAGGTTGTCCACAAATCTCCTCTTCTTTGACGATTGCAACACACTCACACATAAGTGCACAGCAGTTTGTGAAGAAATTTCGCCTTTTCGGGTTTTTCTTCCGGTTCACACACACACAAACACCCAAACTTCAGCACATTTTGTAAACACCCAACAAAGTCATGTCATAGCCATTAGAATCGTGGACTAAACTGGGGATTCCAAGTTTCCTTTGTTTGGGGTTGTTTAAAATTATAGTATGGGCAAGTGTGCGGGAAGGGTGGGTACGGGCAAGTGTGTTGGAAGGGTAGGTACGGGCAAGTGTGTTGGAATCGTGGGTCCCCCGTGTGGGTTCCGGGGCCCCATTGTAGGAGAAAACAAGAATAGACCAACTGCCTCCCCAAAAAGCAGGTCGTAAGAGTCGACTAATTGGGGAGCTTCCTTTGAAGTCGAAGTGCATCAGCCGGAGAGGCGAGGAACCAACAGTCTGTATTCAAGAGAATGAAATCTGTAAAACTGATGCACACGCAACACTCATGTTCTGGAGCAGGACTGCAAATCAGTAGTGGATGAGCAGCCAGAACTTTCCACCAGAGTGTACAGCTGGTGAACGCGAAGAAGAAGGAAGGGTGGGTACGGGCAATTGTGTTGGAAGGGTAGGTATTGGCAAGTGTGTTGGAAGGGTGGGTACAGGCAAGTGTGTTGGAAGGATGGGTATGGGCAAGTGTGTTGCTGGTGTGGGGAAGGAAGTATTGTTAGGTGCAAAAGCGAGTGGATGGAAATTGGTGTGTAGAAAAGTGTATAAGCAAATGTGTTAGAGCAGGACAATGTGTACGTGCAAAAACTGTTAGTCCTATATGAATAATATACCAATGACATAAAGGAATTCACCAGATAGGAGACAATTTAAACATGTTTATAAAATTTATTTTCTTTCAACAACAAAATTATACCAGCGTGTATATTTTTCCCCTGGATACACAAAATACTACCACTAACAAATACAAGTAAAATGGAAACATCAATTAAATCCCTTTCTCTGTGGGTTCCAGGGCACCAATTTAGGGCACCCAAAAAAAAAAAGACAGGCACATGGCTTCCATAATAAGCATGTTATAAAAGACGACTAATTAGGGGTTTTCCTTTGAAGTCAAAGGGAGGTAAGGAACCAACAGTCTGCATACAAATAATCCAGATCTGTAAAATGGGTGTGCACACAAAATTCAAGTTGTGAAACAAGATAAAAGTACAGAAGTAGACAAACAACCAGAACTTTTTGCTAGAGTTTACAGTTGGTGAGCGCAAAGGGGAAAAAAAAGTTAATCACCAGCAAAATTCTGTACCTGTCTGCTGCAAGCAATAAACTTTGTGTGACTGGCTGTTCTAGACTGTGAACCAACTTCTTCTTCTTCTTCTTTGTGTGACTGGCTATTCTAGACTGTGAACCAACTTCTTCTTCTTCTTTGTGTGACTGGCTATTCTAGACTGCGAACCAACTTCTTTTTCTTCTTTGTGTGACTGGCTATTCTAGACTGTGAACCAACTTCTTCTTCTTCTTTGTGTGACTGACTATTCTAGACTGTGAACCAACTTCTTCTTCTTCTTTGTGTGACTGACTATTCTAGACTGCGAACCAACTTCTTCTTCTTCTTCTTTGTGTATCTGGCTATTCTAGACTGTGAACCAACTTCTTCTTCTTCTTTGTGTGACTGACTATTCTAGACTGTGAACCAACTTCTTCTTCTTATTTGTGTGACTAGCTATTCTAGACTGTGAACCAACTTCTTCTTCTTTGTGTGACTGGCTATTCTAGACTGTGAACCAACTTTTTCTTCTTTGTGTGACTGGCTATTCTAGACTGTGAACCAACTTCTTCTTCTTCTTTGTGTGACTGGCTATTCTAGACTGTGAACCAACTTCTTCTTCTTCTTTGTGTGACTGACTATTCTAGACTGTGAACCAACTTCTTCTTCTTATTTGTGTGACTAGCTATTCTAGACTGTGAACCAACTTCTTCTTCTTTGTGTGACTGGCTATTCTAGACTGTGAACCAACTTCTTCTTCTTTGTGTGACTGGCTATTCTAGACTGTGAACCAACTTCTTCTGCTGCATCTGCCCTTATAAAAGGCAGTGCGCATGTTGTGGTTTACAGCTAGACTGCAAAATCTGTGACTTCAGCCCAAAATATCCAACACCCCTAATTAGTTGCCTTTTAGGACATACTTGTTAGAGAACAGTTGGTCTATTATTTGTTCACTCTCCCTCCAAAAATACTGGGTCCCAGAACCCAGATCTTGTAGAAAAGCTTAGCTGCAATATTCAACTAAGTAACAAGTCTACGGACAAGGAAAGAAAATTTTCTGAGCCAGCCAAGATGACAGGAGGCCCGTTTCCTAGAAGAGATAGGACTTGATGTGGAAAAGGCCGTAAGGAGTCTGAATCGCTGACTTACCTCCTTATCATCAAGCAAAATCTTCTGAATTGGCACATGGATTGTTAAAACTATATGAATTGTCACAGACAGCACAAGCGGTAGTCAAAATGAAACAATAAATGTAATGGTATTTTGAAATTATACAAAACAAGATGGAAGAGGGTAATGAAATAGTAAAGATCATGAACAAGATAAATTCAAAACAAAATGTTAGAAGATTCCTGTGAATATTTTTAGCCAAGCAAGATTACAAATGTGTGAGAAAGAATACACAATGTTAAAAACTGGCCATTGTTATCAAAGAAATATGATGATGAAGACCACTTAGACATATCTGCAGCCGTGTGAGATTTTGGCAAGGACAACTCCTTAATGAATGGCAAATGGAAAAAAAAACTGACACGGATGCCCTAAGGAAAGCTGGAGAAGAATAGTAGAAAGGGAAATGAAGGAATATCAATGAAATGGTAGGGGTTACTATGGGCAGAAAAGCAGCAGACTGGTAGCAGCAGAGATCAACTGTGAATGCCTTATGTGTCAACATACACGAAGATGATGCAGACAGAGAGAGAGGAGAATGCTGCTGGCAGTTCAGAAGTGGGGATAGTACTATTCAAATTAGCAGAGAGAACACTTAAATAGTGGGAATGCAATGAGTTCTAGAATAATAAAAGCAACATTTAGAACCATAAAAATAAAATGTACGTATGACTATGATTTAGCGTTACACATCACAGACAAATCAGTCAAGGGGGAAAGTCATGCAATACTTTAAAGGATTTAACACAATCAAATAAACAGCAACATTAAAATTCTTATGAACGATCAGGAACGGATCAGATAACATGGGGTAATGAAATCATCAGGAAACAGACTCTGCGTTTTGTATTTTGTCTCACAGAAACTGTGAGCTTCTCCCATTTTCTAATGATCATTCCTGCATTCTCTACACTTCAATGGGCATAGCTCATCTTTACATTACCGCCCAGGATTTGTACTAACGAAATGTGGAACTTCATTTGTTAACTCAGAGCCTTTTCTCAATTAAAATTTGTCCAGGGAGCCCTAAGGAATGACTTTTTTCAAATATTTCAAGGCGCCCCTGTGAAGAGGTCGCTGTTGCCTGGGGCGCCGCAGCGCACAGTTTGTGAATCACTGTGTTAACTGGCTTCAACTCCCATGTCTCTCTGAAACACATTATAGCACTATCATCTGAACAGAAAGAAAGGTGCCAACAATACTGTCTAAATAGAATTTCTTGTTTTTCCCATGATACTTAAGTAATGTAAAAGGTAATGATAACTAATGATTGCAGACGATGTTAAAAAGCAAAAAATACAGGATGTTTCTTCTCACGCCTATTTCTTATAAAATAAATATACTGCATCAGTCAAGAAAATACAATAGAGTTAAATGAAAATGGTAACACAAATACAAACACATGAATTCCAGACAGCTGAAGCATAAGATTAAATTTAAGAAGCAACAAAAATATTTCAGTTTGTCTTCTTACACTTTCTCTGTTACCGCTTCTGGGGTGTCAAGGGAGATTATTATAAAATTCTACTTCATGCTCTTTTGGTTGCCTCGATCATAAGCACATCATGTTGTTGTAGAGTTTTTCTGATGTTATCTTTCCATATGTTCTTGGTTGACCTCATGTTCTGTGACCCCTCCACTTTTGATGTTTGCCTTGTATGGTGTTACAAGGCATTTCCTATAAGTGAGCAAACCATTTTACTTGCTGTCTTTGTATGAAATGTACATAGTACCGGTTCTGTGATGATTTGTTCTCTTATGACTTCATTCCTGATTTTCTGTCTTCTAGTCACTCCTGCAGCCTTTCTCAGTCACTACATTTCTATGATTGTTAATTTTAAAATCATTTAACATTACAGCAAAAATATTATTTTTTATTTGCATCAATTATACGCCCGCAGCAATTTGTTTGTTGATCTTCTCCATTAATCTTTTGTCTAACTTTTTCTGGCGGAGATAAACTACAGCATAGGAGGACAAACCCAGCACAAGTGTGCATAGCTGGAACTTCCAAAAGTCTGCTTCCTCAACTGCTGGGGAAATGTCACACCTGCGAACAAAGTTTCCAAATGAAAGTCACAGGTTAATTCAGGAGTATTTTATGAAACCACTATGTTAACTAAGATCAGAGCAACTATTCTTCTTCTTCTTCTTCGCGTTCACCGGCTGTGAACTCCGGCGGAAAGTTCTGGTTGTTCGTCCACTTCTGGACTGCAGTCCTGTTCCAGAACCTGAGTGTTGCGTGTGCATCCGTTTGACAGATCTGTATGCAGACTGTTGGTTCCTTGCCTCTCTGGCAGATGCAGTCCGACTTCAAAGGAAGCTCCCAATTAGTCGACACTTACGACATGCTTTTGAGTAGGCAGTGGGTCTATTCTTGTTTTTCCCATAGTAGGGCCCCGGAACCCACACAGGGGAAGGCAACTATTAAAACACTTCCTATCCAAAACACAATCATGAAGACTTAATCAATCTCTTCGCATGAAAGAACCTAATAGACTCTGCAGTCGTATGGACAAGAAACTCCATGTGAACAGTAAGTAAAAAGTTAGGGACCCTTTTCCATGTCTTTCAGGCGTATTAGGTATATAGGGCTAAACCTATATTTTATAGACCAAACGGCACTTGATGGGTGATGTGGTCAGCATCACGCCGGCCACCTTCACTTCCCAGGACTTCTTCTTCTTCTTGTTCTTTCGTTCGCATGAAATAAATTGTCTATATCTGCAAAGCCGTCTCTTGTATAAATTTCACTGTCTTTTGTAATTCACTAAGCGGCCCGTAAAGTTTGACTTCCACAAGTGTCTCTTTTGGCCAAAGGTTTTGCCTGAAAGCGTTGAATATGGGACAGTCTTGAAGGATGTGATCTGTTGTTTCAGGTGCCAGTCCACAAGTACACATGGCCGATTGGCCAATCTTAAATTTGTTGTACATGTGGGAGCGAAGTCTACTGTGCCCTGTTCTAAGGCGAAGGATAATAACTTGCTCTGGTCTGTCCATAATATGGTAATCATCTTGTGCCAGTTTCGGTGGCATTCTGATTGATTTGATCATTCTCTTCTTCTGTTGATAAGAGACTGGTATGTCAGGTTGTTCTTCAGTTGCACCTTCCTTAGCTAGTTTATCAGCTTTTTCGTTTCCGGGAACTCCACAGTGGGAAGGTATCCACTGCATTACTAATTTACAGCGGTTGCCTAGTTCGGATAATAGTGTCCGTATGCTTGGTAATTTTCCAGACTGGAGTGACTGAAGAACTGCTTTTGCATCTGTCAGGAATACCACTGGTTGTGAAAAATACCCTGTATTTAGTAGTTTCTCTACAGCTATCTTGATGGCTTGAACTTCTGCATCATAGTTGTGACAGTGCTTTCCCGTTGGTAATTTGGCTGTATCCCTGGTATTATTAGGATACTCAATGTACACTCCCGCACCTCCGTTTCTGACTGCGCTTTCTGCTGACCCATCTGTGTAAACACGGACCCAAAGGTTCTGCGGGTATTCATCATCAAGTAGACTGAGGGTGGATGTTTTGCGCTGCACACTGTTTTGTTCTTCCTTGTCAAATACCCCTTTCACTTCAGTCTTGATGTGTACTGGAAACTTATACTCCTCTCTCCAGGGGGTCCGTTCTGGGACAGCATTTAAGGATCTATCAGTTGCAGGTAAATCAGTGGTTTGTCTGCCGAGCAGTTTGGCCTGGTGGATAAAACTACTTCTCCTTAGTCGTCCCAAAGCTAAATTTTTGAATCTTTCATTCATAGGGTGACTGGGCATACTAAGAAACTTTTCTGCTTGTAAAAGCATCTTGGTGTCTCTGCGTTCACTCAGTGCTTGGGTCATCCCCATTTTCTCCATCACAGCTATAGGTGTTGATTTCATACTGCCTGTGGTAACTCTGAGTGCTTGATTTTGCACTTTGTCTAATTCTTGCAATGTGGTTTTTGATGCCGAACTCCATGCTGTTGATCCGTATTCAAGATGTGGTCGAACACTTTGTTGGTAAACTTTTCTAAGTATTTTCCCGCTAGCACCCCATGTTGTTCCACTTAGTTTTCTCAGAATGGCTACCCTCCTTCTGGCTTTGGTTGCTGCCTTGTTGACGTGTTTTCTCCATGTTAATCTATCATCAAACGTTACGCCGAGGTATGTGGGCTCCTTATCCTCTCTCAGGGGTACTCCATTTATGTGCATGGCGCCTGATTTTTGTTTAGGAGAAAGGGTAAAGAGAGTGGTGCTGCATTTGCCTATGTTGATGCTGACACACCATTTGTCGGCCCATTTAGCCATTGCCTCTATGGCTCTTTGTAGCAGTCTGGTGGCCACTGTCGCATTTTCATTTGTACACCAGAGTACCAAGTCATCAGCATACATTGCAGCTTTAATTCCATGGGGTAGTTCAGAAAGCAGGTCGTTGATATAGACTAGGAAGAGTGTGGGGGACAGGACATCTCCTTGTGGGACGCCATGGCGCAGCAAAACTTTCTTGCTCTTAAGTCCATCTATCTGTACTCGGGATCTTCTGTTATACAAGTATGCTTTGACCCATTTGTACATACTCCCATTCACCCTGCAGTCTCTCAGTTTCTTCAGTAGACCTTCTTTCCAGACCTTGTCAAAGGCTTTCTTCAGATCTATCCATGCCGTTAGCACTAGCTTCTTTTCCTGGAAGGCATCCTCAATTTCTTGTGAAAGGTAAGTTGTCTGGTCTTCTTCCCAGGACTGTACCTGGTACCCACTCAAGGCTAGGTTTATCTAGGAGCCAAGGTCACTTTAAAAAAAATAACAAAAAAAGTCTGACCTATCAGGAACCAAACCTACAACCTTCCGATCCGCAGGATAGACCACGGCAGTTCCCCCATGCTGACAGGCACCACATAATACAGAAGAAGTGCTACAAACATGCTCGCTACATGCAGTAGAGAGATCCTGTGTGTGGTCAGTTGGCACTGCAATGGAAACTTAGCTGTATGGAATAGCGGAGAACACGTGTCGTGCCAAAAACTTCAAACAGGCATGTGGTCTTCTCATCCAAAAACCATTGGCAGGAAGAACCAAAGAAGACGTGCTAAATGTATATTCTTCTTCTTCTGCATACAACCAGAAAAGGGCAAGATCATGATATACATACAATGAACAACAGCCCCCCCCCTTTCCCCCCCCCCCCTAAACTTGCCTCCATAAAAATCACCTCTTTTTCTTCTTCTTCTTTTGTATGGGAAGTTGGCATTTTGCACTGTTGTTTATACAACATGCTGCACTGAGGTTTATACAGCAAGCAGCACTGTTGTTTATACGGCATGCTGCACTGAGGTTTATATGGCAAGCTGCACTGTGGTTTATATGGCAAGCTGCACTGTTGTTTATATGGCAAGTTGCACTGTGGTTTATATGGCAAGCTGCACTGTTGTTTATACAGCATGCTGCACTGTGGTTTATATGGCAAGCTGCACTTTGGTTTATATGGCATATAAACCAGTGCATATATGACTAATAAGATGACTTTTCCCCAGTGTGACTTTTGTGACCCCACTGGGAAAGAGGGGGGAGGGGGTAAACCCACTGCTCCTTAAGGTCAAAAGCAGAAAAAGAAAATGGAAAAAAAAAGGATACAAAAAGAAGATGAGTAGAAAAAAGGGGCAGAAAATGATACAGTTAAACCTGGATAAGGTAATTCTTCTTCTTCTGACTTTCTAGCCCTCAATAAAGCATAGGCCCTCAATCAACTCATGCCAAGTCGTTCTGTCCTTTGCTATCACATGCAGCTCTCTGCATGTCCTGCCCATCTTTTTAACCTCAGTCTCCAGCTTCCGTCTCTGTGTGTTTTTCGGTCTTCCTCTATTTCTATGCCCCTCTGGGTCCCAGTAGGCTAAGGTAATTAGGATGCATTATTAATATGCAGAAAGCATCCAGATTTACACTTACCAAATAAAGTCTTCTTTCCCAGAGTCACATTTGATACGTTCCTTGTGGCCAGTCTCAGAACAAACAGGAACTAGATCTCGCTAAACAAGAAGCATTAACAGAAACAGAAGGAATTTGTATCATTCTTTCACAGTTAAATATCATTATTCCTAAGACACTGCAACTATTTACAAAAAGTCTTGTCTCCTAGCCTAGTGATCATTGGTTAAAATTCCCTTAAACAGACACACATCACCCCCCCCCCCCCCCCCCCACTAAAAAAAAATTGTATGGCCTGGGTTCCTAGTTTCTGGGAAGTAAAGGCAGTCGGCATAATAATGATACCATCCACCAAGTGCTAAATACCCATCAAAGACATGGACATGATATTTTTACATATTTTACTTAAAAATATTTCTTCTTCATAGCGTTCACTGGCTGCAAACTCTGGCAAAAAGTTCTGGTTGTTCATCCACTCCTGGACTTTGGTCTTGATTCAGAACTTGAGTTTTGTGTGCACATTCATTTTACAGACCTGGCTTACTTGTATGCAGACTGTTGGTTCCTTGCCTCTCCACAGATGCACTCTGATTTCAAAGGAAACCCCCAAGTTAGTCAACTCTTATGACATGCTTGTTAGGGGCAGTAGATCTATTATTCCCAACCCCCACCCCCACCAATGGGGCTCCAGGAACTTCATGGTGACCTTCCCAGTTAATTTCCAGAAAATAATCTGGTACCCATTTGTTTAATGAGGCTTCGGTTGACTTCAGAGATGTACTGTTTGCAATCACTTCGGTTGTAAGTGGTCTTCATCACTCGTGACAGACTAACAACAACAACACTGTCTGCAATCACTTCGGTTGTAAGTGGTCTTCATCACTCGTGACAGACTAACAACAACAACACTGTCTGCAATCACTTCGATTGTAAGTGGTCTTCATCACTCGTGACAGACTAACAACAACAACACTGTCTGCAATCACTTCGATTGTAAGTGGTCTTCATCACTCGTGACAGACTAACAACAACAACACTGTCTGCAATCCCTTCGGTTGTAAGTGGTCTTCATCACTCGTGACAGACTAACAACAACAACACTGTTTGCAATCACTTTGGTTGTAAGTGGTCTTCATCACTCGTGACAGACTAACAACAACAACACTGTTTGCAATCACTTTGGTTGTAAGTGGTCTTCATCACTCGTGACAGACTAACAACAACAACACTGTCTGCAATCCCTTCGGTTGTAAGTGGTCTTCATCACTCGTGACAGACTAACAACAACAACACTGTCTGCAATCACTTTGGTTGTAAGTGGTCTTCATCACCCGTGATAGACTAACAACAACAACACTGTCTGCAATCCCTTCGGTTGTAAGTGGTCTTCATCACTCGTGACAGACTAACAACAACAACACTGTTTGCAACCAATTATGTCCCTACTATGGGAGTAAACCTAGACAACTGTCTCAAAAGCAACCACTATAAAACTGCAGGTTCAGATACCTATTGTAGAAAAATCCTACTTGAGAACACAAAAGGTTGAAATGTCAGCTATCATTGGCCAAACTCACTGGAGTGTCGTGATCATAAAGTGAAGCTATGCTGGATATATGCCTTCCTAATAATGCCACACTAAGTGCCGCGAGATATCTACGTGAAAGGTGCCAAGAAAGTTAACCCACTGACTACCATGATCACACGTTATGTGATCGGTCAACGGTTACGCCTGGCTTCTTTGATCGCCCCCTGGAATTGTTACTTTGGAGACTCACAATCATGATAACGTCGTGACTTTTGCGATAAACGTAGCTAAAACTGTTAGTCCATTCATTTCCATATGTTTCTATAAGGGGTATAATTCCATAATGCTTAAAGTACATTTCTCGGTTGCCTTTTTTGCATCAATCTACAGCCAAGTGATGTTGATATAAACAAGATTATGCACATTTTAAATTCCTGAAATTTGTTCTCTGTTCAATTTGGTGCAAGTTTGCAAAATATGATGAGTTTATTTTAAACAGTTGTGAATATATGGAATTTTTGTTATCCATATTGCCTTCAGAAAGAAATCTTTCAGCTGCCTCGTTTTTTTTTTTTTTTTCACCGATCTACCGTCACATGATGATAATCTAAAACAAGGCTAGGCATTGTTCTTGAAATGTATTCTCCATTAAATCTGGTGTCAAACAGTTGTGAAGCTATGGCATTTTTGGTACACACTAGAAATATGCAGTATCTAGGAAAATGCAAGGGTTAATTTTCATGTTAATGTAAAAAAATCTTTTATAATGAATACCAACACATTCAACATTTTGCAAGAAAAGTAGAAGGATATTACATTTTATAAAATAAACCCAATTATTTCTTAAAGAGAAGATGCTGGCCGAATGGACAGAACACTGGTCTCTCAAGCGTGAGACCCAGGTTCAAATTCCCAGTAAGGCCTAGTGTTTTTTTTTTCTGTCCAGGGTACACAAAAATCCTCACCTTCACAGTCGTGGCGACAGCACTAGCCATGCGGCCGTAAATCCTCAGGCTCAAAGACACCCTGCCCACACCGCAATAGTGGTAAAATAAAGGCAGTAATTTGCAATTTTATTTTCAAAGACTAAGCAAAAAAATAAGAGGTTCTAGAAAAGTGATGCACTTACCAGCTCTTGCTTAGAACATCGTTCACATCTGGACACCACTGAGAATGTTTCACATGGTGCACTTTTCCTAGCTGATGAATCCACAATAGCAGACATTGACAAAATTACACACAAAACATAAGCATTAGAAGAGAGGTGAATTAAAAACCGGAAACTCAGCAACAAAATACCCCCCCCCCCCCCACCACCAAATAATTAATTAAAAAAAAGACATTAGCCAGATGATGAAAACAAAATATAAAATTCAGCGGCAACATTTAAAACAAATAAATAACACACAAACAGTAACAAGCTGATAAAAAGACAACAAAAAACTGTGACAATATTAAAAACACATTAAAGAGTTAAAAGTCACAAGTTGGGTTATCTTCACGGCACTCAGGACATGTTCATAGGTGCTCAGCTGCCCACCCCAACATATACATGCTTCAGAATTGGAGTACATCTGCCTTGGAATATGGGGAATAAACAGTCTGCAATAATAAGCCAGACCTGTAAAAGGTTGAGCATGCAATAATAGGGTCCTGGAGCAGGACTGAAGTCTAGACACAGAGGACTAGCCAGGAGTTTCTACTGGAGTTTCACAGCTAATGAATGCAGAAAAAGAAAGAGACTAGTGTCTCTTCCAGATATTTTCATGGGACATGGAAAGAGATTTTGGTCTGCATGCTGGGTAATCCTGGAACACCAGCATCCTGACATGCTGTTAATGCATATCATTACCTTCTTCTCCTTCTTGGAGTTCATCAACGGAAAAGTTATAGTTTTCTTGTCCACTTCTGGACTTTGGTCTTGTTCCAGAACTTGAATTTTGCGTGTGCATCTTTTTAAAGATTTGACATCTTTGTATGCAGACTGCTGGTTCTTTGCCTCTCAGGCAGATGCATTCTGACTTAAAATGGTACACCCCCTAATTAGTTTACTTTTACGACCTACTTGTTAGGAAGGCAGTGGGTCCATTCCCCGCTTCCCTCCCAAAGGAAAAGGGCCCCAGAAACTACATGAGTAATATCATTATCTGACTTAAGTAAAAAGTAGAACCCTTTTCCACGCCTTTAGGCGTATTGGGAATATAGGGCTAGACCTATATTTTTATAGAACAATCGGCACTTGGTGGGTAATGTGGTCAGTATCAAGCTGGTCACCTTTACTTCCCAGGAATGCACCTGGTACCCACTCAAGGCTGGGTCGACGTGGGAGTCAAGGTAATTTCTGAACAAAGTCCGGACCCATCAGGAAACGAACCCACAACCATTTCAATCTTCAGGAGGGTGTCTAGCCGCCAAGGCCATGGCGACTCCTATCCGACTTATATACTGCCTTATAATCCTTTAGTAACACTTGCTCATCATTATTCTCTGGCACATTTCGATGTATGCTTGTCTTGCCGGTGCAGATATGATTCTGACACTATGGTTGCCCTGGTAACACAGGAAGTTATGTTTGATTGTTGTTGAATTTGTACCCTAGTTATAAAGGATTCACTTATTTGCCATATTTGTGTAATTGTTACTGTAGTATGCATCTGACGAGATACAGTGAAATATTCCAGGCAATATTTGTGCGGTCTATTGTTTGTCTTCTTTGTTCATAATTACAATAGGGAAATATTGCCTTGGCACCACTATTCTGTTGTGCTGCTCATACGTTACACAGGGCTTGAAGTCTTTTACTCCATTCCATTCTATCTTGTGCAGTCTTTTTAAAATCGTGGATGGAATTCAGTCCAGCATATTTGGGCCTGTCTCATCGGTATTTGTATAAAGGTTTCCCCCTTAGACTTCATTGTTTCCTCGATTCATCTTCTTTTGTTCACTTGAAATAAATGATCTATATCCCCAATGCTGTATCTAGTTTGAACTTCACTCTTTTGTAATTCACTTAGTAAAGTTTGGCTTCCACATGTCTCTCTTGGACAGAAGTTTTGCCTGCAAATGTTGTATTTGGGACAGTCTTGGTGGATGAGATCTGTTGTCTCAAATGCCAGTACACGTGTACATGGCTTATTCGCCAGTCTTAAACTTTGTGCACAAGTGGCTGCAAAGTTGACTGTTCCTTGTTCTAAGGCGTAGAATAAAGACTTGCTCTGGTCTGTCCATAATATGGTAATCGTCCTGTGCAAGTTTTGGTGGCTTTCTAATTGATCTATTCTCTTTTTCTGTTAATAATAGACTGGTATGTCAGGTTGTTCTTCAGTTTCCATAATTCATTTGCTTACCATGTCAATGCTGGTTTGGTAATCATTTGGCAGCTTCTTAATAGGATGCTGACCGCATCTCCCACCAAGTGCCAACTGGTCTAAGAAATAATGGTCTAGCGCTGCAAGCCTAATATGCCTTATGGTGTGGAAAAGAATCCTTAGGCAAAAGGGATTACTAGGACCTTTGTTAGATTTGCATTGGAACAATGGTACTACGGACAACTAGGTGTCAATCTTTCAGGCTGAATTCCTGAAGTGGAAACAAAAATTATTATATGTGCATTTGTTTCACTGGTACCATAGGTTGGTTCTCATTAAGTGGCTCACCTTTGTTCCTGATGACTTCTTCTTGCTTTGCTAACTGCTTGTTGTATTCCCAATGGCTGTTTAAAATAAGTGCTGCCCCTGTGACCCTGGGAAAGACAAGAGAATTAACTTTAACAGTGAAATTATTGATGTCTAGACCTAAAACAAGTCATAACAAATGTCACAGAGACAATGGTTCTACTTTTTTGGTTAATTTGAAACATGACAATATTTAATATGGTGAGAGACAGACAAGTAGACAGACAGATATATGGGGGGAGAAAGACAGATGAACAAACAGGCAGGATGACAGTCGGATGAAAAAGCAGGCAGACAGACAAGGGAAAAACAGATGAACAAACAGGAAGCAGAGATCGACAATGCAAATCGCATAAGTCAGATCTTAAAAACACTGCTGGTAACAAAGCACACTGTATTTCTAAAAATCAACTATATTAAAGTATACAGCACTACAAAAGCTTAAAAATAATAATCAGACAAAGAGGGAGACTGCCTGGCGATAGAGACGAGAGTTACTGACAATCAACAACTAAAAGACAGTGAGACAGATAGTTTAAATGAACTTGTAAAACAAGACTGTACAAGGGGATATTGGGAGAAGAACTACAGTTTACACTTATTTCCTGGTAAATGCTTTCTCTTTCATACTAAAATTACAAAACTTTTTTTTTAACAAGAAAGAGGAAGGACTATGAGTAGGACATTTTAAATGCTTACAAGACAACGACTCCCAGAAAAGCAAGAAGTCTCTTCTTTGAAAACACTTCAATCATCATATCAGTGCTCTGGCTTGTTTCTGAAAAGCAAAATGGTTATCTCTGAAACAACCAACTAGCTCATTCAAGCTAAATGAACTTGACAAACTCATAGATCACTTCTGACACACCATCCTTTAGTGGTCATAAATTTTACATGTGCTCAGAAAACATACAAATTGCAATGCTTAGTCTTCACTAGTGCATAAAATGTGTAAAATGCATTTACAATTTGTTATGGTAGAGAGTTTTTGAAAGCTGCATATAGTGAATCAATGTATGCAAGTGAACCACGGACAGTCAACATAGTTAGAAATTATGTGGAAGCAGCCAGTATGTGGTACTTTTATGAATTAACACTGCGCTGTCTCCATGCACAGTGTGACTCTGGTACCATAAGCATGCTCAAACCAGTTAATGGGCAAAGAAAAAAGATATGCCAAAGAATATGGAGATGCTGAAGGGGGGCGCCGTGGTATAGATGCTCCCCTGCGGATAGGAAGGCTGTCGGTCCTGACGGAACCAAACTTTTTTAAACAATGACCTTGGCTACCAGATTGACCCAGCCTTGAGTGGGTACCAGGTCCAGTCTTGGGAAGTAAACGTTGCTCGCGTCATGCTGATCACATCACCTACTAAGTGCCAATGGGTCTATAAAATATAGGTTTAACCCTGTATACACATACATCTTAAAGCATGGCAAAGGATCCTTGATCTTTTTTTTTTTTTAATGGAGACACTGAGATGGCTACTGTGTTGACAACAGAGCATGAATGGGTCCGACTGATATTATAGAATGTCAATATGAAAACTGGTAACAAGTAAGAATCCTCTGCTGAGTTTAAAGTCAGATCCAGGTCTGCCAGAATTGGTACATTCGTACAAATTTGGTTCTATTTGACCCTTACCGAGCAAAACTGTACTTTTGGTATTATGTCCAATGTTTTGGTACATTTTATAAATTTTGCATCAATATTTTAAACGCTGGTATTTTGCACTGTCTCCAACAAGTGACAGTGAAGAAAGACTGATGTCAGTTATACCATTGGTCATGCAATTTTCCAGTCTTGTTAAAGAATAACATTATGAAGAAATAAATAAAGGATGTGGCGGGGGGGGGGGGGGGGGGGGGGGGGGGGTGCAATATCAACCAACTAATAAGGAAAAAATTGTTGGTTCACAATTTCAGAAGAAATGTGTGGAGATCAAAATCGTTTTCGATTACTATCAAAATGTATGCTTAATCTATTGGCATAACCTTATTTCTCTACTGCTGCAGAAAGAGGTTTTTGTCTTCTTCTTAATGTCCATGCCGTGTGGCGTTGGTATTCATGTCTTTCCACAGCCTTCTGTCTCGTGTATTTCCAATAAAGTCTGACACAGATGATCCTCCATGCTTTGATGTTAAACTGTCCAGAATCTGTTCTCTCGGTCTCCCTCTGCTTCCCTCTAACTTTCCTACTGTCACGATGTACTCCAGTTTTCTCATCAGCACATGGTTAAAAAATGTAGATGGTTTTTTTTCTGATGTGAGCAATCAGTTCTCTTTGTCCCCCGTGTGGGTTCCGGGGCCCTATTGTAGGGAAAACAAGAATAGACCCACTGCCTCCCCAAAAGCATGTCGTAAGAGTCGACTAACTGGGGAGCTTCCTTTGAAGTCGGAGTGCATCTGCCTGAGAGGCAAGGAACCAGCAGTCTGCATTCAATTGAATCAGATCTGTAAAACTGATGCACATGCAACACTCAGGTTCTGGAGCAGGACTGCAGTCCAGAAGTGGACGAACAACCAGAACTTTACGCCAGAGTGTACAGCTGGTGAACGCGAAGAAGAAGAAGAAGAAGAAGTTCTCTTTGTGAGTCCGTTTTTTTTCAAGACATTTTCATTACTCTTTTTATCTGTCCAGGGTTCCGTCTAAGAAACAATATTAGGATTTTTTTTTAAAGACTTGAAGACTTCAAAAATAAATGCATTGAGGAGATCAAATTATTTCTCCAGGACATTAACTGCACCAACTGGAAGTGGCCACAACAGTTTTGCAGCAAAATGAGAGAAAGGGGGAAATAGTACCACAATTAGGTAATGGATGAAGAATTTCAAATTTGATAAATATAAGGTAAGCCAGTTTATATATATGTATATGTGTGTGTGTGCATGTGTTTTAAACGTTTTAGGTTTTTTTTTTAATTTAAATGTTGGTGCGTTTTGCTACTTTTTCAAAAAAACATTTGGTACTATCCCACACACACACACACACACACACACACAAATACATTCTGCAGCCCTGATCTCATACACTAACTTGTAGGTTATCAACATCTAAGCTGTGAAAAGGGCTATCTGTATCATTTAAGTTCAAAGACCCCAATTTTTGTTCTTTAGTGATAGTATTAGTGATGATCTTACAACAAAGTATGTCCTCACATGAAAGTTCACCATATCGTCATAATCACATAATGCTCTTACAGTTTTTATTTTTGTATTTCTACAGTCTTGTAATCAACTTGTATGTTTAATTATTCGACGACCGTTTCCTCTACTACAAACTGCTTCTACCGTAACGTTATGAGTATGACGCTTATGATAAGCAGTGTTCACTAGGCTCAACTTGCTCCTTAACTTTCGGATTTCCACATTCCATGTCATCGTTGATTTCGATTCTTCCTTCTTCTGTTCTACGCTGTTTCTGCTCTGCGTCTTCTTCTAGCTAACCTCACGATACATAAATATGATAAACAGGACAAAATGTAGGTACCAAAATACTTCAATGGTACGTTCTCTGGCAATTATTAGCTCTAGCAGGCTACATATTTCCTCCCACGACATACACAACACAATAACATCATCACCACCACCATGTTGTAAACAAAAAGCCAGAGTTTTCAGACATAATGAGCCAAATGTTTTGATGCAGTAATTTTCACAAACAATTTCCTTTTCAAACTTCAGGGTTGTTTTTTTTTTTTTGATGTAAAGTCTTTGTTGAGTTCTCACATTATATAATTTTTCAAATTGTACATACCTGTAACCATTTATTTAGCAAATTTACGTAACTTATATTACTGCTAGAAATTACGTTGGTTAGCAGGGTTATCATTACTGCACTCCAGACATGTCCATAGGTGCTCAGATGCTGTCCTCAGTATGAACTCAAGCATTTAGTGGCTAATAGTACCAGTTCTATGTTGATTAATATGTCCTCTAATGTGCCTGGTGTGCTTCTCGTTTTTTGCTATGCCGATCTTAAATCCCAAGTCTATCATTCTGGCGAGTTATGTGGATTCACCCCCCCCCCCCCCCCTTTCCTCCCCAAAGTTCTCAACCATTCCCATTTCTTGGAGGGCATTAATAATATCAGCATGATCCATAAGTTAACCGTCGGTAGTTATAGTGGATCTAGCCAGCTTATCAGCTCTTTCACCTCCATCAATGCCTGTGTTTCCCAGTATGAAAAATATTTTAAAGCCTCACTCCAGCTGTTGCCGGGGGCCCTTATATAACCCCAATGGGTTGAACGGGTTTCTGCGACCTGTCCTCGGCGGGATCCTCATCCGAATGTTGGCAATTTGTGTCAACGGGTGTTTATCGGCTGGTGTGATGTCCTGGTGGGGTTGAAAATCAATCAATTTACCGATGAAAGCGTTAACCTCTGCATTGACAGCAACATGATTCTGCTCCCTGCATCGCCCTACAGTGTGTCAATACAGGAAAAGCTGCAAATAAACGCAGAGTATCTTCTCTGCACCACGGGCGATGTCGGTTAGGCTGCATATTTTCTTGATATCTTTTGTTCCACCTAGCCATGATTCCCAGCTGTCGCGTGCGGATATGCACTAAAACACGCCGATACTGACTGAGCAAATAGGACGTCAAAACAATACGCAATGTTGTTTGGGAATTGGAATCTAAGAGATTCGGAGTAACAAGTTTGAAGGAGACAGATGTGTGGTTGTGTCTCAGTTGATCCTTGAGGAGGTTCTACCCCGAGATTCTACGTATAAACCTCAACCAAGAGCTGGTACATTGATTGCTGCGCTCTGCAGGAAGCCGGAATATTTATAACTAATAGATCTCTCAGCCGAATCACTAAGAAGGAACATTGCTCAGTTATTTAGTATCAGACTGCAGAAGAGGAGATCATTGTGACCATCTAGACTCTCAAGGTTGTACTGTTGATCCGTAAGGAGTTGCTTGAAGATGTCATTTGAATTTTTCTAGACGAGTGTGCGTGCGGTAGCGAGTGTTGACGTGTTTGGGTGAGTCTTCACCATTTATTTGCACATTTTCTCATTTTGGATCAAAGTGTTTGTCAATACACCATTTGGATACCCTATACATGCATGGCTTTCAGCATTCAACTCCCGTTTGGACGCATTGAAGTTCATTGTTAATGCTATAGGCTTCCTGTTTCATCGTTGGAATTAGTCTCTGACTGTTCTACACTTGGCTGGTAGCATTGTGATATCTACACTGCACTCGTTTGGTACCTGATCGCACGTGGAAAAGGGACCTACGCCTCTCAGCATCGGAGGCGCACGTTTCACCCCTCCCCCCCCCCCTTTTTTTTTTTTCTTTAGCCTGTCCCCTTTGTCATTGAAAAAAGCTTGCTGCAGCGGATGATTCTTATCAGCGCATGTTTGAAGGTATGCATGGGCCCTCCAGATCCTGATCCCTTGGTTCATGTTTGGAAAGTCAAGTGGATATCTCATTACCACACATGGCGCGTCTTTTGTACATCTCAAGCAGATATCTCATTGCTACACATGGCGCGTCTCTTGTACATCTCAAGTAGGTATCTCATTGCTACACATGGCGTGTCTCTTGTGCATCTCAAGTAGGTATCTCATTGCTACACAGGGCGTGTCTCTTGTACATCTCAAGTAGGTATCTCATTGTCACACATGGCGTGTCTCTTGTACATCTCAAGTAGATATCTCAATGCCACACATGGCGCGTCTCTTGTACATCTCAAGTAGATATCTCATTGCCACACATGGCACGTCTCTTGTACATCTCAAAA